AAGGTGAAGGGGATAAAAGGATATTGGGGAGTGACTGATAAGTACACACACACACACACACACACACACACACACACACACACACAGTGTGTATGCATGAAATTATGAAAGAATAAATAAAATTTGAAAAAAATGAATGTAAAAAAGAAAAACGTGTTATAGAAGTGGAATCATGTGGTATGCAAACTTTGGAGGCTGTCTTTTTGCACTGGGCTTAATTGTGCAGTGACTCATCCAGGCTGTTGAGTGTGTCATTGGCTGGATCCTTTTGATTGCTGACTAGCTTTCCAGGGTAAGAGTATATCACAATCTGTTTAAACATTCACCACTGAAAGGAACCTGTCTTGTTTCCATTTGGGGAGCTAATATAAGTAACACTGCTATAAATACTTATGGAAAGCCCTTACTTTAAAGATGCATCCTCAATATTTATGGATGAGATAAAATGATGTCTAAGATTTGTGTCCAAAAATTCCAAAGTGGATAAGATACCAAAAACTATGGACAAATAAGACAGTCTGAGGCTGGGGTATAGCTATGTGGTCAGGGCATCTGATTATCACAGGAGGAAGCCTAGGTTTAACAACGAATAAACAAGATCATTACAAGTTTATAATTGTACATACTATCATCTATACTTTTGAATAGGTTTGAAATTTCCTAAAACACAGGGAAATAAGAAAGAAATAAGGAATTAAGAAAGAAAAACCTAACCTACGTATTGATCATATACACTTCCACACATAAATATCTTTAAGCAAAATTTGAAGGTCTGTTTTTTCCTTAAAATCTTGTGACCTTAGTCCATGCTAAGATCACAGGACCTCTTTGCCCTAAAACACAGAGCCCACACCTTCAGTGACAGTCACTATAACATTCACTTTAGCAATTTAGCCAGATCCCAGCTAGGTGCTGGTTAAGTTTCCTTAGGAAGTTTTTATTAGGCTGCAGAGCTGAGATAATAGCTAGTCTGTAAGGCTGGACAAAGGCAGGTGAGTAATCACCATAATCAGATGTATGAGATTCATGAGTGGCTTGTCTTCAAAGGAGAGGGTTCATGGCTGACATGAACAACCCTTATCATCAAGACAAACGCTTCGAGAACAGAAGTGTGATTACTGAGGATGAAGAGGAGCAAACTCTATGAGCACAATCAGGCCGGAAATGAAGTGAAATGCATTTTATAGTATGCAGAGGCTGCTTTTGTTTTTAAGGCGCTCTGGGGGACAGGATATTATTACAGTGTTCAGTCTGCAAGCTAATGATTCTTTAGTATAATTCTGCAATGTGTCTACTACTTGGTGGCACCAATATTCTATCAGCTTATTCTTCTCTCGGTTTGTAACACACCCTTCCACTCTGTCCCATTGCGGACACCTTGTTTTTCCTCCACTGCATGAACTCTTATAAAAATGCACATCTACTCTCCCAAAGAGCTCAAGCAGAGGAAAAGTTAAACCTGTTAGTCGACCTGGGGTTAAGAACCAAGATCTTCAAAGGAAATACATACATACATATATACATACATACATATAAATATATATAATGACTTTCAAATGCCAAACAGTGTCTGTGGCTGCAAATGCGTTTTTCTTGTTCAGTCTTGACTGCTTGGGCAGGTACTTTGTTAAGTGACTCCAAAGCTTAAATGAAGATTTTACTAGGAGTGTTATCAGGAGAAGTTATTTAAACTACCTCAGTCAAAATCCCCATAAAAGAAATCCCAAAAGTCCACCTAAATTGTATAGGTGGGCACATACTCTGTGAAGTGAGGTCCATGTTAGAAATAACAGTGCTTACTGTGAGCAGATGTGTAACACGACAGCACTATGACAAATGGGGAAGGGGGCATCCAAACGTCTATAAACTAAAATAACGAGACAGTTCCTAAAGAGAGTGCAGACTGGTTCATTTGACGGTGTAAACATCTTGGATAGTCCATTAGTGGAAAGGACTCTATTATTAACACTGGGTTAGGAAACAAAGAAAATGCGCTTGAATTAAAAATTCTATTCCTATGGCAAGAGCTCTAACAGAGATGTGTGGAATTAAAACACAAAATTATACAATGTACCAGGGACTATGAACAGGTTGACACTGACATTAGTAACAGAGTCATCAATGAGGAAAAGGAAGAGGACAGGAAAAGGATCAGGAGCATAACCAAGGAAGAGCTAAGCACATAGGGCTCAGAGACAACCAGGCAGCCTGCATGGGTCTGCCCTAGGCCCTCTGCATCTATGTGACAGTTGTGTAGCTTGGTCTCCTTGTGGGACTCTTAACAGTGGGAGCGGGGACTGTCTCCGACTCTTTTACTGGCTTTTGGGGCCCGACTCCTCATACTGGGTTGCCTTGCCAGGTCTTAGTACACGGGGAGGTGCTTAGTCTTACTGCAACTTGATAGGCCATGTTCTGTGGATATTAATGGGAGGCCTGTCCTACATGAACATAAATGGAGGAGGAGTGAAAGGATGGGGGGGCAGGGGGGGGTGGACTGGGAGGAGAGGGAGGGTAAACTGTGGTCAAGAGGTAAAGTAAATAAATAATTTCTATTTTTTAAAAGGAGCTAAGTAGTTAAATTTGGAATGGTGGTGCACACCTTTAACCCCAGCACTCAGGAGGCAGAGGCTGGTCTACACAGTGAGTTCTAGGTCAGCCAGGGCTAGAGTGAGACCATATATATATATATATAAGATATATATAAAGAGTACTATAATTAAAGACATACACATTTTGCATATGGTCCTCCTATATCTTTGCCATCTTCCTTGACACTTAAAAACAAGCATTTTCTCTGTCCTGTGGATTCTGACCAATGGTCTACATTTCTAGCAGTGTGTGGTCATTGACAATACTGAAAGTTGAAACAGCATTCACTTTGACATACTTAAAAATTAATACAATTCAGTTTCCACTAAACAAGATGGTCTTGTTCAAAACCTAAGTAGTTATTTTTAAATCTGTGTTATTTTATTATTTGTGTGTGAGCCCAGACGCACACACCATGATACGCATGTGGTGATCAGCAGACAACTCTGTGGAGCTGATTCTCTCCTTACAGACCGCCAGGCTTGTACCACAGTCACTTTTACACATGGAGCCATCTCAAGAGTCTCAATGTAGTTGTCTTGCTTATTCATCCAATTACTGCACTCACAGTAACCACACATATACCCAGTCTACAGAGCCTGGATTGCAGAGGGAACTGGTGTAGTTTGAGAGAAAGGAGTCAGTGGAAGAGTAGATAGGAAATATCCAGGCAGAAGGAAGAAGGCATTAAACCTAGAAAGTTTCAAAGCAAGTGACATAAGATGGGTATAGAGAAATCATTAGCCATGTTTTGCAAGAGCTGCACAGAGTAGAATAAAAGATGAAGTTAGAAAGCTGGTGGGCATCAGCGGGTGGCAGCCACTGAAGGCAGGTGAGGCATTTAGATGGTGCCCTGTGAGCACGTGCAGGGTTGAAGAGGGCGAGATGAGTAAGTGGTGCTTGAGAAGACATGACTAATGGAAAGGGGCCCAGAGCTAGGGACGCTCCAGACCTCATTCATGATGGGGCAGGGTCAGCGTTTAGTCTTGGGGAGGTAATCTGAGGGCAATGTGAAAAGTGCCTAGTGCTAGTTTGGTCCTTTCTAGGTTAAAAGCCTAGAAAACAGTCACTTGCAGCCACGCCAAAGAACTGCTTATGTTGACAGGTACATAAACTTCCATAATTACGATCAAAGCCACATGAGGGCATAGGCTAATGACTGATAAACCCACCTTTAAAGGAAGCTTTTCTTAAGCTAAACAGAGACTTAGAGAAATATTTTTATATTAAGGAAAACTATTTTAAAGATGATGATGTTGGATGTTTGCAAAGTGATGAGTATTCTTAAATTTCTAAAATAATTAAGTACCATTTTAGTAAGACAGCAATAATGGCATGATTGACAAACCTGTTCTCTATACTTTTGCAAATTTTCTTTTTATATCTCCTTTTGTAGATCTATTTTCATCTTTTGCATATTGCAAACCTATTTCTAATCAGGAGTTCACATTTTCTTTTGCAAATGCACGTACAAGTAAAACTGAGAAGTAATTACAGACAACAAAAGCTAAAGACCTATTTCTCTAGGTCAGCCAGGCTACACAGTGAGATCTTGTATCAAGAAAAGACTAAGAATGAGAAAATTAAATATACATATATTTTAAATATAATTTTGCATCTTCTTACATCCTTTGTCATCTTCCTTGACAATTCAAACCAAACATTTTCTCTGTCAAAGGTACACATTTCTGGGCATTCAGTCTCTGTCTCTGTGTGTGTACGTATGTATACATGTCTAAGTCATTGATTCAGAGCTCCAGGACCTGTCCATCTCCACTGCAACGCTGGGGTACAGAACTGATGCTTGTACAGCAGGCACTTACCAACTGAGCCATCTCTCCAGATAGCTTGCTCATAGGCTAGACTGCTCTTTTCCCCCTTCTTTCCTTCCTCCCTTCCTCCCTTCCCTTTTGAGACAGATTCTCACTATGTAGCTAGCCCTGGCTGGTCTCTAACTTACTGAGATCCTCCTGCCTCTGCCTCCTGGGTGCTGGAAGCTCCTGTTTCTGAATGTATGTGCCAACTTAGATTCTATTTTCACATACAAAGCAAAGTTTTGTTGGGCACCTAGTATATGCTAAACATTATGCTGGTCCTGGACTTATGATGAAGAGGAAAACAGAAAAACAGATATGGTCTGCTTACAAAGGAGCTTTATAAAGGAATTCACCCAAATATATAATTCAAAATTATAATAAGCCCCATGAAAGAAAATTATAGGGTGTTAGGAAGCTTATAATAAGGAGAATAAACCAAGCCTGGGTCTGGGATGATGTTTTTAAAGAAACTGTCTTTGAATTGAAATCTCTAAGGATGTGGAGGATTGAAACAGGGAAAGAAGTGGGTGAGGGAATAGATGAAGAAGTGAGCAAAGGTAAAGAACCGCATCAATGAGAGGAAAAGACTCTGACCTGCTGGGTGATGGTGTCCCACGGTCCCTGCAGCAGTCGCGTCTTATAGCATTCGTGGACTCCTTCCCATATATCCTTCAGGGCTAAAGGTCTCCCATCTGTGAAAGCACATCATGAAAGGCTGTGTTAGTGATCCATGAGACACGATGGTGCTTGATGTTGCTCGAAACAGAAGTTTCTGTCCTGCCAGTAGCTCCCAAATATCCAGCAGCAACTTCCCAAGTAATTGACTCAGAGGCTTAATATTGCTTGTAAATGCTTGGCCATTAGCTCAGGCTTATTACTAGCTAACTCTGACACTTAAATTAAACCATAATTCTTATCTATGTTTAGCCAGGTGGCTTGGTACCTTTTCTCAGTACAGCATTCTCATCTTGCTTCCTCTGCGTCTGGCTGGCCACTCCTGACTCCGCCCTTCCTCTTCCCAGCATTCTTAGTTTGGTTGTCCCACCAATACTTCCTGCCTGGCTACTGGCCAATCAGCTTTTTATTAAACCAATTTGAGTGACAAATCTTTACAGTGTACAAGAGGATTATTCCACAGCAGTACTGAGTGTCCTGATTTCCTGAAAAATCTCTACAGGTGTACACACTAAGAGTGTGTACATATCAGATTTCTGTGTGAACTACTATTTTCTTACTGAGGGAAGATTAAACATCCAAGCTTCTCTCCTTTGTATTCACACAGCAACTAAGATATATGTATTACCTTTAGGACTTTTACAAAATAAATAAAAGGTGAACATGTTTCAGAGAGAAATGACAGATACAAGCATAAGGGCAAGTCCAGGAAATGGATGCTCTTATTCCCAGAAGTCTGCTATGAATGCTATGGAGCCTTCATGATTCCTCCGGTCCTTGGAGAAACTGCTCCCAGGCCTTTTCACTCTCTCACTGATTAACAATAATGTTCAAATCATTCTACTGGGCATCAAGGAGACAAAAAGGAAGGAAAACATAATTTCTTGCAGTAAGTAGCTTACCATTTACTGGGGGGACCATAAAAAGTATATTAATATCTTAAAATACTAAATAGAGGTTACTGCCAGAGGAAACCGAGTTAGAGCTGGAGAGGACAGAGGGCAGCAACACTAGCACAGTGTCAGTGTGAGGGGGGCATGGGATGACTGGCGTGGAGAACCGAGAGGCTAGCATGATGAGGTTACCGAGAACTGCAGTGAGCAATAATTCTCCCCTCAGTCACTTAGAACTTTCAATTATCTCTCTGAACTCGGGGCCCATTCAAAGTATTTTATGAAGACTACCATGGCATTTACAACGCACATAGGTAAGAGGAAAAGTAGGCGGCTAAGCTCAAACGCCAAAGAACAAAGAGTCATGAAGATTTTCCAGATGTACCGCCGGAAGGGTGTCGGAATGCTAGACCCTAGTGTTACTCTGGACATTCACGGCAGTCACGATCTCAAGACAGCAGGTAGGTCTTTTCCTCAGACAAATGTCCAATTTTGCCTGAAAAGAACACATCGTATATTGAATTACTGTGCTCAAAGGAGTGCAATACAACTCAGGGAAATACTCTACTCAAAAAACTAAATGTCACTGTAGCGTACAGACTCAGAGTCCAAGAAGAAATGTAGGAAGCGAGGGGCAGCACCAGGCTTAGAATTTGGGCCATGTTTAAACGTGGGGTCGGCAGTTGCTCTCTGTGTGCATCTCAGTGGCTTTACTTTGTAAGTCTTTGCTTTTTGAGTCTCAGTTACTTTTCCTACAAATGGAGTACAATAACCCTTTCAGGATTTTGTTCTCATGAGGTATACATGAGTGACCCTTCACAGGACTGTGTTAGGAACACAGAAAACGCTCAGGAAATACTCGGCACCTCCCAGCCCCTACTCTGTATTCAGTAATTCTCAAAGGTGAGGGGTCCATTTGTGAAGTGTTTTTTCCTCGACTGTCCCCATGTTTCTGTACTATGCACACTGCCTTCAAAGCAGTCATGTGCTAATGGCATAAGCTGGGCATTTCTCATGTCTGACCTGAAAAGCTGAACTTTCCCTCAACCTTTATTTTCAATAAATAGCACTGGAATATTTTGATACATTTTCAATAACTATCTTCATCTTGGCATTTATCTGGCAGCAGGAGACCATTATCTTGTGATAAATAGTTTTATTCCATTGACATTTCCATGTCTGTAAAATGAACAAGATTTATTCATCCAATTAACATTTGAATGTCATGTTTAGCTACAAGTTGAAAACAAGCTGCCTTCGATATCTGTGTTATATTGTTTTCTGAACACATTTACAGAGTAGGCCAAACTCTGCTCTGAAGACAAGTACTACACATCTTCAAAACGTGCATGTGTGTGACCTGAAGAGGTAAGTAAGATCTGAAGTATGACAGCGTCAGAGAGCATGTTCACTAATCAAATTACAAAAGATGACATGCTTTCAGATAATGTCTACATATCAAAATGAGAAGGAATTAACAGCAGATTAATAAATGAGCTTTAGTAGGGTTACTACTTTCAGAAATAAGGTGACTAACACCTTGGGTAACACAAATCTCCAAGATTATGCTGCCAGTTCACACCTGTGAGGGAATCAAAGGCTGGGCTTCAGGACTCATAGTCCAGTGCTCTTCTTGAGCCATACTTTTCTCTGGGGGCAGAGACACTGCAAATGCTTTATGTATACGTATTAAAAATGCTAAGTAAATACCTCCCTTATCATTAAATAACTTTTCAGCCCCAGAGAGAAAAGCTGGATTTAATATCTGCTAATAAGCAATAATTCTAATTTTATTCCTTAAAATAGTCAATAACCTAAGCATGGATTGCTTATTACCACTGTTAAGAGCCAGCCTACTCACTCGGCTGGAAGTGATCATACAAGAGTATTAATGGCAGCCTGTGACAATATCAGGAAATATTACAGGATTTCCATCAAATTTGATACTAGAATTGAGGGCCAGTGCTTACATTTCCATACCACATCAAATCTACAGAATAAAAAAGAGAACTCCTTAGAATACAGGGTTAAAAAGGCTATAGTCAACTACGAAAGCAAACACAGGGGTGAACGGTAAGTTCAAAACAAACAAAAAGGTGCACTTTTATTTATCTCAAAAGTTTATTACAATGAGTAAGAATTTCTATGGTTTTAGAAAGGCAGAAATATTAAGAGCCAGCAGGGATGGCTGACCCCAGGGAGACAGCACCTCCAGACACAGCAGGACTGGTCCACACAGGAACTCGTGGAGACTGGGCCACAAGGCAGGCTGCACAGCCTCAAGCCGGATGGGTTCCCAGTGTGAGATGGGGAAGTGGAGCTGCTCTCCCATCCGTACCAGGCCTCCATCTCCAACTGACAACCGCTCACAAAGGGAAAATTAGTTTTTGCCCAGAGTCTCACTGGGTATGCAAATCATACTTACGGCCCCGTGCCCAGCAGTGACGGCCCAAAATGGGCTCAGTGGTGTTTCTGTGGATTTTTTACTTTTTATTGTTTTGGCTGCATGTTGCTTTGCTTGGGCATTTTTTACCTTACTGGTCTTTTGCTTATATATTATGATTCCCAATTTTGTCTTTTTATGGTTTTTTTTTTGTGTGTTTCTTATTCTTTGTTCAAAAGTTTTCCTATTTGATTTCTAAAGACAGAGAGAAAAAGAAGGTGTAGTGTTGGATGAGTGGGGAGGTTGGGAGGATCTGGGAGGAGATGGGAGAGGAGAGTCAGAATATATTGCATGAATTTTCAATAAAAGCAAAGAAAGAAAAAAGAATTTCCATGGTTTTAGCTTTTTAAAAAGAAAGTAAGGACTTTGTGGGTAGTGTCCAGGCTCTTTCTATGACATTAATAGAAACAGTGATTAGTACCAATGTATTTCTCTACATCCTCGATATTAGTTTCATTCACAAAGTACAGAATGTCTGTAGCACTGGTGCAGCATATGATTAGCATGTGTACAGTGCTGAGTTCTAACCCCCTACACACACGCGCGCGCACGCACACACACACACACACACACACAGTGATCCATCACCATGTGTTTTCCCTATTTCCCACAGTGAGGAAAATCCAGACACACACACACACACACACACACACACACACACACACACACACACACAGTGATCCATCACCATGTGTTTTCCCTATTTCCCACAGTGAGGAAAATCCAGAAACCCAACATTCCGCATCCATCTCTTTCTCAGCCATCAGTCTCACCCTAAAAACTATGGTGTGTCCCAACATTCTACACATCTCTACAGCATATGCTTGCCTTTCCATTTGTGCTACTCTAGGTTTTACGTTCAAACTTCCAACAATGGCTTTCATTACTCCTCCAAGCTCTGGTGTTGGATGTCTGCTCCTATAAACTTCAAATACAAGTCTAACGCATTTTGTGTTGAACCACACTTCCCTCTCCACACAGTGTAAAATTCAAATACACGGGCACTGCGGCCCCTTCTGACTGGTCTATCTGCACCACTGCCCTTCTTCCCTAGGAACCAGCTCTTAAAGAAGCCGTGAATCCACTCACCAAACCCAGCCCTTTGCCCTCCTGGGCTCTTCTCACAGCAAACAGAACTCTCCCAAGTTATCTTGCTTATACATTCCTTACTTCCTGCCTTTCTAAACTATGGAGCTCTATGGACGTGGATCTTTATCATTCTTATTCCTGAATGGACCATGTCACCTGGACCAAGTCATCAATAAAAATGTCTTAACTCCATAGGAGAGGTCGAAGTTTCTATAGTTTTCTTACTCAAACTAATTATTTTCCACACGAGTTAAAAGTCATCTTCGTGACTTTATTGGTTATACCAATTGTACCCACACTACACTGTAATTTTCTTATTTACTTAAGTATGGAACTACTGTTGGTCATTTAAAATACCACAAGCTGGGAAACAGTACCTGGTACAAAGTAGACACAAGGAAGCCATACCAACTTTCTTCTTTTCAATTATTTTCCTTTGATAAATTTCCTAGAGTGGAATTACCAAGTCAAAGTGAAAAATAACTTTTAATTCAACACAGAAGAACTAGTATCTCACCCCTCAATCTTCTCCTTAGGGTAATGAGATAAGAAGTTAATTTTAGAAATAGATATTTATATTATTTGGCACCTA